TGTAAAAGTCATAATTCTCTCATTTTCTATTTAAAAAAAATTGTATATCATAAAATCAAAAATTTCAAATTAGGCAAAATATTGTAACATGTATATTTACCTAATTGCAACAGATTATGTTAATTTAAAAAATCAGATTGCATAGAAATCGAGCAAAATTTCAATTTGAAAATTAAAATTTAAAAATTCCTTATCATTTGGTTACTATTTTCTTTAGTTCGGATGTTTTTAAACATAAAATAAAGTCAGATAATTTGAATTTGAATTCAAAATGAAATCAGGTTGGAACATCCTAAAAAATTGGGTTTTGTTTAATCACCTAAAATACAAATTTGAAATTGACTGCATACACGTATACAATTTTGCCCTTCCTTAAATTAAGGAAATTTTAAAACAATAAAACTATAAATTATCAAGAAAGACGTTTTACAGTCTCCGTTATATTTGGCTATGCAATCTTCATAAAACCAATATAAATCATATCATATATGTCCTATTAAATAATTTAATTGATTTATTTAAATTTATCTAGAATCCTAATATATATAAGTTTCAAGTGATTGTTTTTTTAGGTACGTATACACGGAGGTATGTTGTTTTCTGCCGATGGAGCTTCAGCCTGAGTTTTTTAATTATCTCGGCACTCGGGAGTGGTGGTTGTTACCGTCAGATTTAGCTAAAATGCACATGAACATAGATAAAACGACACAGAACACCATTAATTTAGATTTGTATACGAATCTTAAGAGTTTAAAAATTATAATTTGTGGCGATAGATGATGTGCCAAAACACCAAACAAATAATATTGCGTATAAGGATGCGTTTAATATGCTTTATCAAATTCATGTGTTTTACGTTCTTCCAATTATTCAAATCATCTAAATCAAAATTATTACTTTAATAAAAACTGGTGCACGGGTACCACACCAGTTAACTTCTATACAGCAAACCAAGAGCAAGTTCTACAATGATACATTTATTACCTTCAACAATCTATCTATATGCTCCCTTTTCACATACACTACAACAGAATACTACACAGTGCACACACTCTCAAGTATCAACCTAAAGAACAAAAGAAAATAAATAAAAATAAATAAATAAATAAATAAAAAATACATATACATATATATTAAAATAAAAGAGACAAAAACGATGATGCAGCCCTTTCAACGAACAACTATAGATTTCTTGAGCACCATATTACCCGACTCATCTCTCTCGAAAAGGCGCTCGATTATTTCGTCCCAGTTTTCACATCTCTTGTTGTGGGCCGACGATCCAATGGAGCAATCTCCACCCGAATGTTGTGAGTCCTCGTCGTCCGTCTCGTCAAACGTGCCATATTTGGAGGGAGAAAAGGCGTGGGGCACTGCTAAAGTCACCGCCCGGCGTAGGGCTGCTCTGTACTCCTCAACGTGCTCTTTGGCTAAAGATTCTTGGCGTTCCATCCTTTGTTTTGCCGGGATTTCCAACGTGTCATCTTTCTCTTGCATCAACTGCATTGTCAAAATACCTCAAAAACCATTTTTATTTCCCTCGTTTTCTTATCTGGCAAAAACTAGCTGATAAACATAAACTAGCTTATAGCTTTTTAAGTTAAATTCGACTTATGTATGTTTGGTAAAACTAGCTGATAAACTAGCTTATAACTTATAATTTTTTAATTTTCGAGCTTATATCTTATAACTCATAAACTAGCTTATAGCTTATAAGTAATTTTTCGAGCTTATATTTTATAACTCATGATTTATAGCTGAAAACATAGCTTGTATGATAAAATTGTTTGGTAAAATTAGCTGATAAACTAGCTTAAATAAATATTTCAACGAGCTTATTTGAAAAGTTACCCAAACAAGCTTATGAGATGAGCTTGAGCTCTTTAAAAAAGTTCGTCCTACTAAAACGAAACTTATTTGAATACAGGAAGCTTATAAGTTATAAATTAGCTTATTTGTCTACTAAACATATCCTGATAACTTATGACATATGGCTCAAAAAATAGCTTACATGATAAAAGTGTTTTGGTGAAATTAGTTGAAATAAAAATTCAATTGGGCTTATTTGAAAAGCTACAAAGGAAGGAAGAAACGTATGAGGTAAGTTAGAGCTTTTAAAAAAAGCTCGTTCTATCCAACCAAACTTATTCGAATAGAGTAAGCTTATAAATTAAATCAAATAAGTTGTAAGCTAGCTTATATGCTTAACACAACCTTAAAGAGAGAAAGAAAAACGTGAACTTACTTCTAGAGCTCGTTCGGCTTCTCTCTCGATCCAGATTATGGCGTGATCGGAGGTCGCATTACAAGAGAGAACTATATGCTCAAACCTCCCGTCTACCGGCACAGCTGTCTTCACCACGGGAGGAAATCTTCCACATCTAATATGGAAAAAGGGAATTCGGAAAAATTAAGTATGCGAAGTTGTATGAAATTCACTTATAGAAACGCAGTGCACGCGTGACCTTTGAGAGGAGGAGAAAGAAAGAAAAAAATGTAGTGAATCCACCTGAAAGGTTTTCTCTCGACTATGTGATAAAGGCGGCCAGGAGCATATAATCTTCTCGGATCTTTAAGAAATTTGTCTTCGGATATGAATGTATCCCTCACACATCTCAGGCATAATATGCAAGGTAAACTGTTCGCAAGATAAAAACTATAATGTAACAGTTGCAAGTTAAAATAGGTGGATATTATTAACACACAAACGAATGGCTTTTCTGTTTTCTACCAGAAAAGAGACTTGAATATATCTTCCAAAGGGGTAGCTGTTCGGGGCAAAAAGTCATCCTGTTCAGTTAACAAAAAAAGAAAAGTCCTTTATATCTGAATAACATCAATGTATATGCTGAATTTCTATATAATGCCTTATCTAAACAAGAACAGTGTAAGCTACACGTAAATGATGATTGAGCAGGACAGAAAGCATTGTTTTTTATGAGTTTCGACTACTAACTAAAATTACATGAAATCGGATCGCCAGATGCTCAACTCATTCAAACGGAAAAAAAAAAAAAAAAAGCTCAAATGAAAACAACAACCACTAGAGAGAATAAAATACGACCAAATCATAAGCAACAGAGATTCTAAAATCATAAGTTACGGAGATTCTATTATTGCTCCATTCTTTTCACCCTCACGCATATTACGAACAAAATGATGAAAAAACCCGGTTTCAAAAACATCACACACATATTGAACTCAAAGGGGGCCTAAACACCAATCCAAGTCATAGAGATTTCAAAATCTTTAGAGATAACATTGTACAAGCTACAAATTCAACATCACAGGCAGAGAGAATCTGAGCCATTAATAGAAAGATGCTCAAATAACTCTTCACTTCATACAACAGAAATAAACCAGAAAGCAAAGCAAAAAAAATAAGAACTCGCCTGAAGAACGACAGAGTTGATAACATCTGCATACCTAACCGCCAGGTTAAGCGACATACACCTGGCAGGCGCAATAGCGTAGCATCTCACCCTTCTCCGATCGATGTTCCCCAACCTATCCCGATTTTGCACCACCACCATTGTCAATAAAGCAGCCACACCGGACCCCAACGAGTGCCCCGTGAAGGTCAGAGTATAACTCGGGTACTTCTCGACCAACTCCCTCAAAACATCGCACTCGGCATTCAACACACAGCCCGCCGCCTTCAAAAGCCCATTGTGAACATACCCCCCATCGAATTTCCTCTTCCCGAGCTTGTTATCGAGCAAAACCGCATAATCACTCTCCTTAGCCAGGTTAAGACCTCTAATGGCAAAAACTATGTCGGCATGCGCGTGGTCTAGGTAGACCAGATAGGGCGGCGCTAGCCCGTGTGTTTCCTCATAATTCTTTTTGAGGATCAAGCAGTCCGGGTCGATGCCATAGCCACGAGGAGGCTCCCAAAGTGGATTTCGTAAGTCATCTTCGTACACGGCGAGTATATAGCGGCAGAGCCTGGGAACCGGCTCGAACTCCTCGGGCGTGGCCTGGGCCCACGTCTCGCTGTCGTGGCCCGCTGTGTGCAGGCAGCGTTTCCAGGCCCAACGGGCGCAGGCTAGGCAGTACACACACTCGAGGAGGGGCAAGCCGCAGATAATAGACATCTTTTCTTTTTTTCCTTTATCTTAGCTGTTTAAACATGGTTTTTTTGTCGGGATTGAAGGGAGTATAAGGGCTTTTGAGGGTGTGGAGGGATAATAATGGCGAAAAACAATCAACCAAATACCAAGCAATGAAGTTTGTGTTGTATCATATGATAAAAGGGAAAGTTAACTTGAAACAGCAAATTGGCTAAATAATTAGAAGATTTGGGTTGTTTTTTTTTTTCCCCTTTTCCTTGTTATATTAAGGACAAAATACAGATGAAATAACTGATAACTCGGAAAACAAACGGATGGATTGAAGAACTATAACTACAATGTAAAAGCTTCAGTATCTAGCAGCTACATATAAAACTGCAAACAATTCCCAATATAAAATCAGATGGGCACATGAACAATTGCAGCTCAAAAACAGCTCACCAAGTAAGAATTCTACCAGACAAGACAACAGAATCACTATGGAGAACTACCGAGAACGGAGAAAAAATATATCTAATAATAAAAAAAAGGTACTATGATTTTTAAGAAGGCCCTGTAAAAATAGGCCGAATTACCAGAATCTCGCACCGACCCAACAGAAAGGGAGGGTTTAAAGCACAAGGGCCCGAGAAAAAAGCCCGACTTTCTGAAAGCTTCATCAACTTTCAGCAAGGCATATCAGGTATCAGCATATGCGGCTTTTGTAGCTTGCTTGGGGGCAAGAAAAAGGGGTAGATGAAAAATGTGTCCTTTTGCAATAAACAGTGAATATGGGTGGCCCTTTGCAAATCCTTGTTGACAGCTGCGTGTGTGCTGCAGAAGAAGAATGATTGAATGAAAGAGAAGATTGAAATATAGAAGTTTGCAGATGAACGAGGAGTTGATTGCAGGAGTCAACTGATGAGACTCCCCAATCAACCATACGATTTTATTTCTCATTTTTTCTGCAAACTAAAATGAGACACCCCAAAAATAAAATGAGAATTATTTATGGGAAATGCTACGGTATGTTACGGTATCATTCCGTCGGGTGTTTTAACCATTAGATCGTTTATCTTATCTAACTATATGTTGATCCAACGGTTGAAACACCCGATAAGATGGTACTGTAACGAGACCGTAGCATTTCCCATTATTTTTTTATTTCCACTACAAACTTTACATTTGTTTTAATCATTTTATTTTATTTATATGACATTATTATGAAAATAATTTATTATTAATCTGATTTATTTCAACTTTTTCTCCATTGTTCGTGGTGACAATTTTTTTTTTTTTTAAGGAATTTGTATAAAATCCCTTTATTATACATTTATTTTTGAATTTATAAAGCAGAAAAATAAGGTGGTGTGCCAAACATTATGATTTTCTTTTAGTGGTGGTTGAAAAATAAATCACTCTCTATAAGGTTGGATAAGAATATTGTTCATAATTTGAAACAGATTATTAGACCTAAAATGCTTGTCAATTTTGGAGGCAAATTTTCATTTTTTTTTTTGTTTATTATATTGGTCATTTTACTTAAAAAAAAAGAATAAGATATACTGATAAATATTAAATATTATAAGTTTTTTGTGAGACGATTGAACCGTTAGTGATTCGAATGGTCATACTTTTTATTTTAATAAAAATGTATACTTATATTATGAAATGTCATAATTGTATTTATCTTCGAGCTTATTCAGTATTACCGATACGATAAAAAAATGTATCTCAAGTGATTAGGAATATAATATACTGAAATATAGTAAATATGATAATTTTTTATGCGAGACAATCGAATCGTTAGTGGATCCACTCGTCATATTTTTTTTAATAAAAATGTATATTTATATTATGAAATGACATAATTCTATTTATATTATTTTTTAGAGTACGACATTTAATTTTAAAAAGTATGCATATATTAATGGCACCATTACCAACCAAATATAATTGAAACACTTGTAATTTGATATGCTGTTAATCGGTAATTTATCTTAGATGAATTTTGACTTCTACATAAAATAGCCGATATTTATCTAATATTTTAATATTGTTTAAGTGGAGGATTAATTTCCTCATAATAAAGTACAAATTGAACATCTATCCAACTACATGGCTAAATGTGTACCTCTTGGGTCGACCATGGGAGGTGAAGGTGAAACACGTATTCCGGGAAGCGAATTATGCGGCTGGTTATCTGGCTTCCTTCGATGCGGAAGGTCCCTTGGGTTACCAGTATTCAGTAATGCTCCCCTACACACGGTGGACACATGTTAATATACCCACCGCTTATGTGGCATGCACACATTGGTGATGTATTTTTTTGAACATATTGACATCACCAATATGTGCATGTCACTTAAACGGTGAACATATTAACATGTGTCCACCGTAGGTAGGGGAACATTACTCTACCAGTATCTCAATGCGATGCCGGAGGGTATTCGTCAATGGCTACAACACGATCTTATCGGTGTAACCTATACACGAACTGTCTGCAACGCAATTCATTAGGTGTTTAGCCTCTTCGTACCAAAAAAAAAAAAAAAATATGTGTATCCACAAGAATGAGCGGGTTGAACAGAGTGGCTCGGCCTGGAGCGTGCTAGGCGTGGGCCTTCCCAGCTGAAACCATAAGTCCAGAAATATTTGTGGGCCGAACACGACCCATTTTCTGCCCCTACACAAAAATTCCTAACGGAGGTGTATTTAATTAGAATTTGTAAAAATTTTTTATGACTTTAAAAATCTAGGTGTATCTAATTTAGACTTCTAAAGACTTTTAAAAATCTTGAGGTATTCAATTAGGATTTTAAAAAGTCTTACAAAATGCTGGGGTATTTAACTTATTTGAAACTAAAATTTGCAAGGACTTTTTAAAATTTGCTGAGATTTCTAAACAAAAAAAAAAAAAAACATATACAAAACCACACTATTCACTTCTAGACTTGGTATTTCATAGGAAGTCTTTCGATGTCGTTGGACTTCCGAAACGAATACACCCCTAAATGTTAGATAAGGTAATTCAAACCAATTGAATTCAAAACTCCTACGCAAACACCTCGGCCAGCCTCCGCCACACCGTCGTCTCCGCTCCACCCCACACCGGATCACGGCCGCAGCCTCCCCAATTACCCAAAATACCTTATGCAACAGGTTAATCCAATAAATCCAAAAGCAAACAATGCAATGCCCACTAAATAATTCCGACATTAATCATAAATGTCACAAATTCTCAATCACGCCTGTCGTCTTGCCCTCTCTGCCTCTCGGCGGCGCCACCGCGGTCAAAGCTAGAGAGAGAAATCACCCTGACACTAACTCCAAGCTTTGGTTTGGGGCTGCTGCTGGCGGCTGTTTCAGGACCAGGGCGATGCCTTCCGACGGCAAGTTCAAGCTGAACGAGTCGACGTTTCTGGCCTCCCTCATGCCGAAGAAGGAAATCGCCGCCGATCAGTTCGTGGAGGCGCACCCCGAGTACGACGGCCGCGGCGTGGTTATCGCCATTTTTGGTTTGCATTCTTTTGGCAGCGTCGTTTTGATTTTTCTTGCCTTATGCGAACGGAGTGTTTTGATCGTTCTTCTGTTTTTGTGTTCTCTTTTCTGTTGTTGATGGTGGTGGTAGATTCTGGTGTGGACCCGGCGGCTGCCGGATTGAAAGTGACTTCGGACGGGAAGCCGAAGATTTTAGATGTCATTGATTGGTATGTGAGTGAAAATTTGTAATGATTGATAAAAGAATAATGCTACTTGTACTCCTTGGTAAATTATTCATTAAAAGGGTAAATGAGTACATGTACCCATTGGATGTAAACCAAGTGGTACACCAAGGGGTACATGTAGCATGATCCTTGATAAAAATGTCTAGTGTGGATACTGTGTGTCTGCATGTTAGTGTTTATGCAACAGGGAATGTAATGCATAATGGGCATATTTGTATTTTATTCTTCATTTGATGGTGGCTTTTTGTGAGTTTCTGTTGTTCTGGTTTGTGTTTGTCCGTTTGTGTGTTTGGGTGATCCAGACTCCGTCATTTTGATTGGTTATGCGTGAAATTATTTAGTTTATGTTACTTTCATGTCAAATGTTGATCAGTTCATATGACAATTTGTATCTTTCGTAGTACTGGGAGTGGGGATATCGATACGTCGACTGTTGTGAAGGCAGATAATGATGGGTGCATCCGTGGGACCTCTGGTCTGTATTCTTGATTTCATGCACCTCATTTGTGCACAAGTTTGGTTTTATTTGATCATTTTTGTTCATTAGAACTTGGATTCCAAAAATTACCTGATCGTGCATTTTCTCTGTGTGATGAATGTGACCAATTCCAGGAAATTCCCTGGTCGTAAATTCGTCATGGAAAAACCCTTCAGGAGAATGGCATGTTGGCTATAAATTGGTTTATGAGATTTTCGCGAATACACTAACGGATCGAGTGAAGGTAACCGTATTATTTATTGGTGACATTTCATTTAGTTTCGATAGTACGCTACACAAGAGTTTGATTTGTTATATCCCTTTGTTCCATCAGTGTTCTAACATTTTTCATTGTTTTGTGGTTACTGTTTGTGCGAAGAAAGAGAGGAAGAAAAAGTGGGATGAGAAAAATCAGGAAGCAATTGCTGAGGCGGTGAAACAGCTGGGTGAATTTGACAAGGTATTTAATAATCTGGTTATCCTGTTAATTATTCTGTGCTGTATCATATGGCAAAGTTAAAAATCAAATTTAACGTTTTATTATTATTATTTTAACTTTTTAGTAAATCATCCATAGACTTATCTGCATTTCTTGTTTATCATTTTTGGGTGTTAAAAATGCCTTTGCTATTGCTAGTGTAGCAATCTTAGTTGCTCCATGCAGTAGTCATCAATTTAGGTTTATAATTTTCGACGCATGTCTGGCTACACCATTTATGTGCTGGAGACTAGGCATGCTCAATGAAGATATTTCACTGAATGTTTTTGATATGTTGAAGTAGTTAACATTTAAAATCCAATGCAGTTCTCTTCGTGATGATTTGAGAGGGCACAGGGAA